CAGTGCCTTTTGAGGGTTCTGCTGATGCGACACCCTTGCGATCCTAGATTAAAATCAGTCAGAGATGTGATTTTTAATTAAGAACCCATCCAAGGCCAGTACTACCAGACAATACATGAAGAGGATTGAAAAAAAAAAAAAAAAGAACTATGATTTCTCTTTTCTTAATTAGTTATTGACAGCTGATGGCTGCCTGGTGAATAAATGCCAAATGTTTCCTTATAAGGAAATGGCATAAATTTTTTTTCATTATTTATATTATTCGGACTATTGTCCTAATCTTTGTCGCCATATTTATTACAACGTTTCGGCCGTTGTACGCTCTGGCCTTCTTCAGGTTGTTGGAATATCGAACTGAACCCTTTATTTCGCTCACTGGGATAGACTGTTCTAAATGGTGAAAAATAGTTTCTGAAGACATTAGGTTTATAATAACCAGAAATTAATACCCAGATGTCCTCAAGGACACATGGCACAGTGGATAAAGGTGTTAGTTAGATCTAGTGACAGGACCCAAAGAGTGTGAGTTCAATACCAAGGAGAACTTGGAAAGGGGAATTAACAGGAGATAATTGATTAAACATGGCACATGGAACTAGAACAGTCTCCCTTAGTGAGTGAAATAAAGTGTTCAGTTCGACATTTCAACGAATGGCCGAAATGTTGTTATGGTAACAAAGATGAGGACAGTCCGAATAATGTAAATAATGTACATAATACCTCATCTCAGAAATATAGACAGATACTGAAAGGCTGAAACGTTGTAATAGATATAGCAACAAAGATGAGGACAATAAGTGCGAATAATGTAAATAATGTACATAATACCTCATCTCAGAAATATAGACAGATAAATTTTTTATTTCCATTAAAAATGAGGAGAACAAATACATTTTGATTCCAGTCTGACATCTAGAGGATGAAGAAAACCATAACTCAAATAGCACTGACTGCTCAATCAATGAAAGCCAAATATTTCCTTATAAGGAAACAACTAATTATCATTAGAGATAAAGTGAACAGATACTATAACTTGATCCCAGTTCCATGGAAGTGAAGAAAAGCTGATCAGTCAATGAATGCGAAAGGTTTCTGCATAAGGAAACAGCTACTATCACCATTAAAGGTGAGGAGAGCAGATACTACGCTTTGATCACAGTACAATGACAAGGGAGTGAAGAAAACCTTACTTGAGTATCACTGGCTGCTTGCTCCAAGCCCATTGTTTCCTTATAAGGAAATAGTTAGCCACTACCATTGGACGTGAGGAGAGCAGATAGTACACTTTGAACCCAGTCCAATGGCCGGTGAGTGAAGAAAAGATTACTTGAGTAGCACTGGCAGCAAAGTCAATGAACGTCACACGTTTCTTTATAAAGCAAACAACTAATATTACCGTTAGAGGTGAGAACAAACACTACACTTTGATCCCAGGAAGATAAAGAAGAACAGTATAATTTCTCTTTTTTAATTAGTTATTGACTGCTTGGTCAATGAATGCCAATTGTTTCCTTATAAGGAAATGTCTAATATTATCATTACCTATATAGGTGAGAACAGGTATTACACTTTGATCCCAGTCTAATATCCAAGGAGTAAAAAAAAAGCTTAATATGAGTAGCACTGGTTGCATGGTCCAAGAATGCCTATTGTTTTATTATAAGGAAATGGTTAGGCATTACCATTAGTGATGAGGAAAAAAAATATAACACTTTGATACCAGTCCAATGAGTGGAAGAAAAGTTTAAGCTCTGGCTGCTCGATCAATGCAGGCTGAATGTTTGCTTAGAAGGAAAAGGCTAATATTATGACTAGAGGTGAGGAGAACAGATACTATGCTTTGATCCCAGTCTAAAGGCCAGGGAGTGAAGAAAAGCTTAGCTTGAGTAGCACTGGCTGCTAAGTCAACAAATGCCTAATGTTTCCTTATAAGGAAACAACTAATATTACTACTTACATTATTCAGACTTATCCTCATCTTCATTGCAATATTCACAATGTTTCAGCTGTTGTACACACTGGCCTTCTTCAGGAGATTGGAATTTCGAACCAAACCCTTTATTTAGTCCACCGGGGTAAATTGTTCTAGTTCCACATGCTATGCCTCATGAAATTACCTGAAGGCAGCTGGAGCTTACAACAGCTCAAGTGTTGTGAGTATGATGATGAAGATGAGGATAACATTCCGAATAATGTAAATAATCATAATACCTCATCTCAGAGATATCGACAGAAACTGATATTATCGTTACCATTATAGATTCCCATTACTAGTACTGTTAACAAGACCCCATTTTGTCCTGCTTCTTTACATTTATACTATAAAATACAAAATCTAACTTAAAATGATGACTTAAATCTGTGGCTACTAAATGCCCTTTTTACTTTACAAAATGCTCCCATTCATTCACCAAACCCTTTAGATTTTGTAATAATAGAATGGAACTTTCTAGAAGTCTCTAGAAACTTCTACAGGGTTCTAGAGGGTTCAAAAAACATGTTTAAACAAGAGTTTGTACCCACTCGCCAGTTGCCTCTTGAACCCACAGCTATGACTATTGAGGTCGACTCCAATCCTTTTGATTCAAGAACAAAGCTTTGACCAAAAGAATCTAAATTCCTACAGTCCTTGAAAAGAAAAGACTATCGGTAAATACTTCACCACTTGCCTTGATATTATTGTCCAAAGTCTTTTATTTTTATATATATACTAGCAGCATGGCCTGGCGCTGCCCGTGCTTGATTAAAAAATCGTACGACTCATACAGCAATCGCTATCACTTAAAATATTTTTGGCTTTCCTTGCCTTTAAAGGAGTGCTCTTTGCCATGCTGATGTTGCTACATGCCTTATTTCTTGCCTATCTCACACTGCAAATTTTTTCTAAGCTCTATACTGAACATTAAATTTGTTACGAAAAAAGAACTAAACAAAATGAACACAAAACAATCAGCTTTAAAAAAGGACTCAGAACTGGAAAAAAAAAAAGAAAAAAAGAATGTTAACAACAAATACTTTTTCACACCCAGCCCAGTTCTCATGCAATCAGAATCAACGTTGAGTTTAAGCAAGTGAATGAGCCAATTGGAGTAAAGTGCCATGCAGATTTAAATTTTTCCCACTTGTGACTTAATGCAGCTATCGATTTTTTTTTTTTTTGCATGCTCGCATGCTAGTTAACATTCATGTCAGTCAGCTGTTGGCTCTCACGCTGGCCAATAGAATCTTCCTGCCTATTCGTGGCAGCCAGCTATAGGCTCTCACTCTGGCCAGTAGAAAATGGCTGCAAACTACATGAAAACTGCTGTAGGAGCATGGAAAAAATTGATTATTTCCACTATCGATGGGAGTTGGGAAATGCAAAGTCGGTCTTGGCCTTTCTGCTAACTTGGAGCATGTGCATGTAAATTTTGGTGCAAATCCGTCAAAAATTGCGTCCGTGCATTCGTTACACACACACACACACACACACATCCTGCCTTTTATAGATAGAGATATGTGAATTAATCAAACTATTTTAAAGAAGAAAATAATGTATTCTTGGACTAGCGACAAATTCCCCTCTGTCACCTTAATCTTAACTACAGTGGATTTCCTCTCCCCCCCTCCCTTGTATAGTTTACACATTAAGCCAACTACTTTCTGGGCTCTCTCACGCTTAATAACTTGTTAGCATATATAAAACTTATATTGCTTTAAACCTCATCCCTGTATCTTGTATTATGTACATTATTCGGACTATTGTCCTCATCTTTGTTGCCATATTTATTACAACGTTTCAGCTGTCAAGGACACATGGCATAATGGATAAAGGTGTTGGTTAGATCCAGTGACAGGACCCAAAGAGTGTGAGTTCAATACCTGGTTAAGGCAGTGGAGAACTTTCAGAGGGAAATTAAAAGGAGATAACTGACATCCATTAGACATGGCACGTGGAACTAGAACAGTTTACCCCAGTGAGCGAAATAAAGGGTTTAGTTCAACATTCCAACCACCTGAAGAAGGCCTGAGCATACAACGGCTGAAACGTAATAAATATGGCGACAAAGATGAGGACAATATCCGAATAATGTAAATAATGTACATAATACCTCATCTCAGAAATATAGACAGATATCTTGTATTACATGTAAAATAAAATCCGCATTTTGTTACTAGATGTAATCTCTTTTCTTCAACCTTAATTTCTACCAATCTGGTTCTTCTTCTTTTGTGTTGTGTGAGCCGTAACAAAACCAATACCATCCTCCTTATGTGCATTCTTGAAACTTTGAGGGAAGCCAAGACTGAAAATGGTAGGGTTGTATTCTTGCTCTCATTGTACATATTACTCGACTGTGGCTGATAAAGTTTTTCATTTCTGCAATGTGGTAGCTCATTGTAATCACAATATTTTCATTCTTTTTTTTTTTTTCTTTTAAAGTTGGTGGCTGCTGGGAGATAGTTAACGTCACTACAGAGTCTCCTGGAACCTCGTTGTCTTGCATATTGTTCATTTTCTTTCACATCATTGGCCAGTTTTCTTGAAAGCTGACAGGGAAGTAGGGATTTTTGCTATTTGCAGAAACTCTCTTATACCTTGACGTGTCTTGTCAGTTTGGTGAAGGCCTGTAATGCACTTTTTTCAGAGCTGCAGCTGCATGGAACTTGGTAGCTTTTAAGAAAGCGTCTTCTTGCTGCAAAAGACTTATAACCTACCATACATACTTATATAAAAAGTCGAAATATATGGCAAAAAAAATCAATTATAAAAGGGGAGTCACGGGGTGCTTATATTTGAGGCCTGTCTGACTTTTAACCAACTTCAACTTCTTGTTCTATGTGCCGTGTCCTATCAGGATGTGGTCGATTATGACCCTCCACAACTTCCTATCCTTTGTAGCTCTTAGTATGCTTAGTCCTGGGTATGACAATAATCTGCAGGATGACGGTGCAAAAGCTCACTAACTTAGAATACGAGACTTTTCCACATCCACCATATTCCTCTGATCAATTGTCGACTAGGCTGTCGGAGGAGGAGTAAAAAAAAAAAGAAGAAAGGAGGAGGAGTAAAAAAGAAGAAGAGAAGGAAAGGAGGAGGGGTAAAAAAGGAAGGGAAGGAAGAGGAATAAAAAAGAAGGGAAGGAGGAATAGTAAAAAAAGAAAGAAATGAAAAGAGGAGAAGTAAAAAAAGAAAGGAAGGAAAGGAGGAGGAGTAAAAAAAAAAGAGGAGGAAGATATGAAGGAAAGGAAGAGGAGGAGTAAAAAAGAAAGAAAGGAAAAGAGAAGTAAAAAAAGTAAAGGAAGGAGGAGGAATAAAAAAAAGAAGAAAGGAAAGGAGGAGGAGTAAAAAAAAGGAAGAGGAGAAGGAATAAAAAAGAAGAAAGGAATGAAAGTAGGAGGTGTAAAAATAAGAGGAAAGGAGGAGGAGGAGTAAAAAAATGAAAGAAAGGAAAGGAGTAGGCGAAAAAAAGAAAGGAAGGGAAGGAGGAGGAGTAAAGAAGGAAAGGAGTAGGAGTAAAACAGAAGAAATGGAGGAAAAGGAGGAGGAGTAAAAAAAGGAAGTTGGAGGAGGAATAAAAAAGAAGAAAGGAGGAATAGTAAAAAGAAGAGAATGAAAGGAGGAGGTGTAAAAAAAAGAAGAAAGAAAGGAAAAGAGAAGTAAAAAGGAAATGAGGAGGAGCAAAAATGGAAGGAAAGGAGGAGGAATAAAAAAGAAGAAAGGAATGAAAGGAGGAGGTGTAAAAAACGGAGAAAGAAGGAGGAGGAAGATAGGAAGGAAAGGAAGAGGAGGAGTAAAAGAAAGAAAGGAAGGAAAGGAGGAATAGTAAAAAAGAAGAAAGGAATGAAAGGAGGAGGTGTAAAAAAGAAATGTAGGAAAGGAAGAGGAGGAAGATATGACGGAAAGGAGGAGGAGAAGAAAGGAAAGGAGGAGGAGTAAAACAGAAGAAATGGAGGAAAAGGAGGAGGAGTAAAAAACTAACTGACTAGCATTTTTTTCAATTATCTTGAGTCCTGGGTATGACTATAAATTGCATCCGACAGTAAAACCTCTGATTGGAAGATTGGAAGTTTTGAGGAGCATGCAACCACCTCTTGATTGCTGTTGTTCCCAGGTCCACCCTGACTCGGGGTGGTAGCACCTGTTAGGGTCCCAGCTATGGGCAAACAGTGAACATCCAAACTGGGGTCAAAACACTATGAAGTTACAAAAATACCAACAACATATTTTTATATGAAAAATTTATCAACAATAGATATTTATTGTACAATTACTGACAGTACAGTTTTAAATTAAAATAACTGGCAATACGTTTTATCTACAGTTGAAAGTTTATTGTGTTGAAAATGACCCATAGATGTTGATATGCCGCTAAGCCAAATCAACCAACATGAAAGAACTCTTTCATGACATTAATCTGTATAGTATCCTACAATTTTTTAACAATCACCACACTAATTTCTTTCGAGAATTATTAAACCTGCTACTGCACTTTTTTTGAGGGTGCAAAAACATGAGCACCTACTGTTTTAAAATTGTTATAACTTTCCTTGTATTGTGTGTATAGATTTTGGTTTTTGTACACTATTAAAAGAATGAACGAGGAATATTTTGATGTGATGCATTACATTTTGCATGCTTGTTTCGACATTGAAAACAAAAAAAATTGAAATGCAAAATAAGAAACAAATACATTAAAAAATACATAAATAATTCAATGTACTTTAACTTTTATTACACCTTACGGAGTCCTGGGGGTGCAATAAGAAGCAAAATCGCTTAAAAGACTTTCATTTTGTCAAAAAAAAAAATCATGTGTTTCCTTGTGTATACATACGAGAAGACACTAGCATTTGTTTGCTTTTTCTTTCACCTGACTCATAATTATTTGTCTCATTGACAAATAAAGATATTTTGTCATTTATATATAGACAAAATAATTCACCTTCAAAAAGACTATCAGATATATCGATGGTTGCTATTAGCTTCCATAAAATTAGTCGGGCCTGGATGATAGTAGCCGCTAGTGGTCATCGTCACTTTCCACCATATCACTGGTGTGGTTATCATCTCCGACCACATCACTGTCTATAGCCACTTGAGTGAAGCCTTCAAAATGGACCACTAGTATTTATGTCCACGTAAATGTTTTTTTAGGCACAAATCTGAGCATCATCTACCATGTATTCAATTGTGAAAGCAGAATAACATATATCATATTTTTATTACTTCAATGCTCACAAGAAAAAATTAAATAGTGGCATTATCACCTTGCTTGGGGTGAATTGATTTAAAAAAAAAAAAAAAAGCATAAAATTTAGGGTTATATCTAACAATTCCAACTGTAAAATGGTGAAACTTAACTACCAACCGTTTTGGGTAGGACGATAAACTACATCTGCGTCCTGGGTAGGACGATAAACTACGTTCAACAGCAAGGCCTTGGTCAGGAGGTTTTGATGAGCGTGGAACCACCTTTTAATTGCTGGTGTTCCCAGGTCCACCCTGACCCCGGGGTG